CAGCGAGGGGACACAGGAACACCGACTTCAGACACAGCGAGGGGACACAGGAACACTGACTTCAGTCACAGCGAGGGGACACAGGGACACTGACTTCAGACACAGCGAGGGGACACAGGAACACCGACTTCAGACACAGTGAGGGGACACAGGAACACCGACTTCAGACACAGCGAGGGGACACAGGAACACTGACTTCAGATGCAGCGAGGGGACACAGGAACACTGACTTCAGTCACAGCGAGGGGACACAGGGACACCGACTTCAGACACAGCGAGGGGACACAGGAACACCGACTTCAGACACAGCGAGGGGACACAGGAACACTGACTTCAGATGCAGCGAGGGGACACAGGAACACTGACTTCAGTACACAGCGAGGGGACACAGGAACACTGACTTCAGACACAGCGAGGGGACACAGGAACACTGACTTCAGACACAGCGAGGGGACACAGGAACACTGGAAACTTGTAGGGGCCTCTGAAGGGAAGGGCAGAGAGCTGTTCCTGCGTGAATGGGGGGGGGGGTGCGGAGTCTGGCACCAAACCAAGCTCACTTATGTCATGGGAATGGATGGTCTGCTTAAGAAACTGGACGATAAGAAGCCCAGGAGAAAAGCTGGCCAGCATTGAAAGACAAGAGGAAAAGAAGAGAAGGAGGCTTGTGCCATCAGGCAGCCACTGCTGACCTCTGCAGGATGCGGGCAGGTGGAGCCCTCAGGTGAGGGCAGGCCCTGGGCTCAGAACGCGGGAGGGAGCTGGGAAAAGCGGAGTGGGCAGCCACTGTGGCAAAGGCCGGCCACAACCCCGGCGGCCCGGCAGGAGTGGGCGTGGACGCTGGGGAAGAGCAACAGTCCACCCCTCAAAGAGGCCCATGCACTTGAGACTCGTTCTTCTTTCTGTACTCTAGGAAACCAGCAGAGGGTCATCAAAGAAAAAACACACAAATACTGCTTGAAACTGAATGCCTGAATGACGATCAGACATGTCAGACTCAGGTCAGGTCTTCATGAATTCTCTGGCAATGAGGTGCAAAGCCCAGCTCTGAGCAGGATGCGGGCACTGCCATTCAGCATGTGCTGTGGTCCTCTTTTAAAAGCTTCTGAAGCCGTGTACACACATGTTCCTCAAGAACGAGACAACCCAGTGGTTGAGCTGAATCAGAAGAGAGAAGATGTGCTGTGTGAGTCATTTCATAACACAACCCTAACACAGAAAGAAAACCTACTGACTTGCTGTGGACCTGTCCATACTACTCTTCCCTTCCTTGCTCATGAACAATGGAGACCTGACTGTCTCAAATGAAAAGGGACTGGTATGCACTGACTCACCTGGCTGGTGTGAACTGATTCACACAGCTGGTGTGTACTGACTCACAGAGCTGGTGTGCAGTGACTCACCTGGCTGGTGCGCACTGACTCACAGAGCTCGGTGCACTGATTCACACAGCTGGTGTGAACTGACTCACATGGCTGGTGTGCAGTGACTCACATGGCTGGTGTGAACTGACTCACATGGCTGGTGTGCAGTGACTCACATGGCTGGTGTG